GCCGGCCCCCCCGAGGCTTCGGGGGGTTCTCTTATAGCGAAGACGCCGCAGGGGGGGGGTCCGAGTCGACGGAGAACTGCGCGGCGTGGAATCGAGTCTTGTTCCGAGAGGTGGGGGTGCATGCCGAGCTGCCGTCGCAGGTCAGCGCGCGCATATCCAATGTTCCAAGCCGAGCGACGCAGCCTGGGGCGCCTGCCGGAGTTGGGCCGAGGGCCCTCGCGGCTTCCAACTGGTCGCTGGGAAGCTTCGTAGATTGGAGAGCCCCCCCTCCCCCCCCTGGGAAGGGTGGGCGCCGAATCCACGGCGTGGCCCGCGTTGGTTTCGCGAGACCTCAACGTGGCGGCGAGTTCCCTGAAGTGGGCGGCGGGCCCGGCGGCGCCCATGTGGTTTTCGCGCGAAAGTCCGCGTTCGCGCTTCCCGAAGTCTGCGAGGGGGGCGCGCGGGAATAGGCGGCGCGTCGCGTCGACGACCTTGGGGCGGTCTACACGGTGGGTGTCGTGCCCGAAGGCGGCGCCGCGCATGAGGGAGATGCACCTTTGGCATTCCATGCCTGCTGCGGCCATGTCAGAGAGCGCCCGCGCAAGTGGGAGCTCGGCCGCGGATTCTTCGAGCAGCCCTGGCCGAAGAAGGGGGGGTCCCGAGGCGAGGTCAAGTGGGCGACGTCGTGCAGACAGACCCGAGCGCCAGGCCCGGGGCAAGTTGACAAGTCGTTCGAAGCGCGCCCGCGGCGGCCAGGTCGGACATTCGGATCGCGGCTGCAACGGTGGACCTGATGGGCGCGGCGGGCGTCGCCGGGCAGGTGGCGGGGGCGTCCGGGGCGCCCGCCCGCTGTGAGCGCGATTCCGCGGGAGGTCTGCGTCCGTGAGACCTCGGCCCGGTCTCCTGACACCGGTGCGTTCGCTCTGATCGTCTGTGCCCTTGCCGGCAGCCTTGGTGCGTTCTTTGCCAGCTTGCAGGCGCAGGTTGGCTGGGGACTCGCGGGCGCGGGAGTGCCGCGCGGGGCGCGCGGGCGTGGCCAGTTTGATGGGCTCTTCGAGTGCTTGAAGGAAAGTTTCAGGTTCATCGAGCCTATCCAGAATCTGGGAATGGACGCAATAGGCGTTGGCGGTGCCGCCCGTCTCCTGTCTAATTGGGTTGCGCTGATTTGGTTTAGCGAGAACGGCGGCGCTCTGACGGTGCGCGCCATCGCCATGGGCGCCCCCCCCCCCCCCCCCCCCCCTCCGGTACTTTCAGCAGCGATGCCGCGCGATCTCGGGTTTCTTCTCGACGCCCCCCGCGGCCTGATCACCCTGTCGAACGTGGGAAGTGGCCAGTGGAAATTGTGAGAGATCAGAGCAGGTTAGCACATTGCGATCAACGTATTTGATTTCCGAGGCGATACCCGGAGAATAATAATGTGCCCAATCAACGAGAATACCATTTTCACGATTTCAAGATCTTCTTCTCCGTGGCGAGAGTTTTCCCCATTTTGGCCCAATTTGGCCCGTCTGGGCGTTGTGATGAGAAGTTGTCTGGGAGCTATTTGTTCGTTATGATTTTCATGTGGGGAGATATGTAAGGGATCGGAGAAGCGGCCGGGCCGGGCGCGCCCCCCCCCCCCCTGCGCGCGTTCATGTGGGGGTCGGGCGTGGGGAATGTGATTCCGAATTGGCGATGCATTATTTGGTGTGCCCCAGGGGGAATCCCGCGAAGCTCCCCCGAACAGCCGGGCCGCGAGCCGTCGTGCTAGCAGTCCGCCGAGGAAGGGGGCCCCCGCTCGCAGACGCCCTCATCGCCAGTGCTCGAGATGAATAACTCCAACGGGTAAGCGGCATCTTAAATGGCATGTCTTCGAGGGTGAGACCGGCGCTTTCCTTTGACATCGGCGCCTTCGGCCGCCGCCGCGGGCTTGTGCGCGCCCCGCGTGCCCGCGGCATAGTTGCCTGCCGTCGTCTGCGGCTTCGCCGACTTAATCGCCCGCCTCGCGCGCGCCGCGTAGGCCGTCCTGCCCGAGGCGGGGCGCTTCGCCAAGGCGTCGCGAGGTCCAGGGCGCGGGGCCTCTTCCGTGGCGCCCCCCGGCGCTTCCCCGCGGGGTTCGAGTCTGGGCTGCGTGTCGGAACGCGCCCAGGGGCGACCCGGGCCCCTTGGCGCGCGCCGTGGCAGGTGGCGCTCGCGAGGGAGTTTCCGTTTTTGCGAGGCCGCCGCCCGCTCGTCAAGCGCCTTCAGAGGCAGCGCGCCAAAGAGCAGCAGGCTCGAGGACACAGGGGCATCACTCAACGCATGCGACGAGCCCGAGGCAGCGAAGAGAGCGCCGAGATCAAGGGCGCGAGAGTCGCCGCCAGAGTCCGAACCATCCAGCGACAGAACCGCGCGGCATAAGCCAGCAAAAAACCCGTGCCCGTGGAGTGGCCCGCACGGATGGCCACATCATCCAGCGAGTGTTGAAGGCCAGGAAGCAGGCTGCAACCAGCGACGGCGACATGCATGCCGTTGAGGCCGCCGGGAACGGGGGCCAACGGCTGCAGCGAGACTGCGCGAAGTCAGGGGCCTAAGCCGCGTTTGGGTGCGTGATCGGTTGCTTCGTCGAGTCAGTAGATGAACGCGAGATGGAGCGAATCCAGAGCCTTGTCGCGAGCCTTGATCGCAGGGCTCGGATCGGCCCCGGGCCGTCAGCGCGCTCGAGGGCCGCGGGCGACCCCGTGGCTCTTTCGAGGGATGTTAGAACAACCTGATGGGGGTCTCCACTAGTGAGACCCTGATGGCAATGAGCCCGAATTGCTACAAGACGCGATGATGCGCGCGAGCGCAGTGCCCGCCGAGGACCTGCTGACGATTGGCGAGGAGATGCGGCGCGAACCCTAGTCGACAGACGAGGCTGCCATTGCCGACGAGGGCATCAAGGGGCGGGGCGAGATCCTGCCAAGAGGCGTGGACTAGGCCCTCTCGCTGTGCGCAGATGTCGTTGAAGCTTGCCCCGCGGGAAATGACATGCAGCAGCGGCAACTGCTGAGCGAAGCAGACAGGCTAGGCGGGGCATGCGCGACGCTTGTCCAGCTTGTCGATGAGGCGCTGGAGGAACTCGATAGCTTCGAAAAGACGTCGCAGGCGTTGAACGTGATCGAGGAGTTGCAAAGCAAGCCGCGTCGCTGCGGAGGAGACTGCGCGCGGGGCCATCAACTGCCCCCAGCGCTGTCATGGCTGCGAAAAGCGAGTGCGGCGAGGCACGCTGGCCCACAACGCTGCGCGCCACTCGCCGGAACAGATGCTAGCTGCGCATGCTGGCGGGCCCCGCTGGCCCACAGGCGGAGTGGGCGCCATCGCCAGGAGAGATGCGGCGACGGCGCGGAAGTGCCGCGACTGCCTGGGACGACAGGGCTTCGCGAACAATTTGTTTGCGTCCGCCTTGGCTTGGCGAGATGGAAGTGGCGCAGTGGGACATTGCCAGCTTATTGGAGGGCCGATGCCCTGCCTGCCAGTGGTCGGTCAACCATCCAACTGGAGAGCAGTGGCCATTTGACATCTCGCGAGAAACTGCGAGGCAGTTCGCGGCGGACACCGGCGCAGGAGACGCTGGTTGGCAAACCGCCGACTGTGGCATCAAGATGTTCAGACAGGAGCGCATGTGGGCCAACGAGACACACCGCGATGCGAGGCCAGCCCAAGTGCCACCGACGGAGTGTGCGACGCGCACTGCGAGGGCAAGCGTCGGAGAGGGGAACGTGTCCGCGTATGTGACGCACCTCCGTCACGACGCCTTTCTTGGGCAACGTCAGCGCGGATTTGTAAAACACCTCTTCGCCTTCGGTTGTTGCAAAATCTGGAACCGCACGGGGCGCGCGTGGCTATCTGTGTTGCGCCACCCCGAGATTGTCGAGACATTGATGCTCACGAAAAACAGCCGGAAGGCTGTCGGAGGGTGGCTGCCATGTGACACCTGCTGGAAGCCCAGCCGGTGGCCTGCGCGGCTTTTCATGGGCCGCCACAAGGAGCGCGCGGGGAAGGAGTGAATCGGGAAATCCCTGGTTACCGCTGCCGGAAGCCCAGCCCGACGAGTTTGAGCTACCAGTTTATGATTGGAGATTGTCCTGGCTTCAAGTTGTTTTCTTTCCTCTCCTCAGGTACGCCCTGTCATGATAAAGTCAGCGGGGCGCTGCGGGCCGCGGTGTTCTGACCAGGGTGAAGTGCGCCTGGCTCCGCAACCGTAGCTGCCGCTTACAACAACAACATCGAAGGCAAACCAAAAACGAACCCACAAAAGTGAGTGGTTCGGCCAGCGCTTAGGGCTTAGGTTTTTGTTTTGTATTTTCCAGTTCCCTCCTCCTCTTCTTCCTCGTCCTCTTCCTTTGCGCTCTTCCACCGCTGCGTTGCCGCCGCCTTTCCGTTCGCAGGGCCCTTGAGCATTGTGGCGCGCCGCGAGCATCGCCACGCGCGTGCGTGAGAAAAGAAGGGAACGCGGCCTCTTTCCTTGCGGGTCACGTTCCTATCCAGATCATTACGTCCTCTGTCCAGATCACTGCATCCCCTGTTCTCTTGTGTTACCACAACGATATCCACGCCCCGAAACGACTAGAAGGCCCGAGAAGGCGGACGACGGACCGAAACGACCAGCCACCCAGCGAAACCTTGAAATGACGACACCACCGAAGGTCCACGCCCACAAAGGATTTTAGGAGGTCGGTAGAAACCCCATCCTGCCAAGTCCATTCGAAACGAATTGTGCTTTCTTCTGTTCTCGGAAGGATGTTGCGGCCGCCATTTTTGCGGGCCTGTTCCTGCCGGTTCTGGTCCCGCCGCTTTACTTCAGGGCGCTTTGCTACAAGGGGGTTTCGTCCACCCCCGATCCCTGGATCCCAGGAGGGCGTGCCGATCCAATCTTTGATGCTCTGGCGGGGCTGGCCCGGCCGAGAACGGCCCCCAGAAACCGACATCTTGGAAGACCGTTGGGGATATTCAGCGACGCCTCGTCGTCGGAGTTCTGCACGTGCCCCCCCGAGCCGCCACAGCCCGCGCCGCCCGCGGAGGAGAGCGACCTGGGCTTCGGCCGCGCTGGGGGGGAGGCGGCGCGCCGCCGACGCCGGCGCGCCCCGCAGGGCGGCGACTGACGCCCCTCGGCGGCCGGCGGCCCCGCGAGGGAGGCGGGCTCGGGCCGCTCCGGGCCGCAGCGCGCCGCCCGGGGCCACGGGCTGTCGGCGGCGCCCAGGCTCACCACCCACCAAACCACTCCAACCACAAGTCGAAGACCCCAACAACACCTTCCATTCCCAGGGGGCGTTGGGGGGGCGCGGGGGAACATGGAAGAACACAGGCGGAACCCGTTCTCACCCAGACTCGAAATTGGGTCTTCGGGTTGGGTTGGGGCGGTCTGGTGGGTAGTCCTCCTTCTCTTCCTCATCATCATCCTCATCATCATCATCCTCATCATCATCATCATCATCATCATCATCATCATCATCATCATCATCATCATCATCATCATCATCATCATCATCATGATCATCATCATCATCATCATCATCATCATCATCATCATCATCATCATCATCATCATCAGCATCAGCATCAGCATCAGCATCAGCATCAGCATCAGCATCAGCATCAGCATCAGCATCAGCATCAGCATCATCATCAGAGGCGCGCCGCGGGGCGCCATGAGGCGCCGGCGCCCCGCGGGCCGCGGAGGCGCGCTCGCACGTGGAGCCGGGGCGTCGGTGCGGGCGGGTTCAAGGCGGCGCGGCGCCGGCGCCGCTCCAGCTGGCGGCGGGCCGCCGGCGCCGCTGGAGAGCGCCGCAGGCTGTCAGCGGCGGCCTGTCGCTGGGGAGCGGCCGGGCAAGGCACGGCGTGGGTCCACGATAGAACGAGACGATGTCTTCAACGTGGCAATGGCCCCCCGAGAAGTTCGGCCAACCTCGGTCTGGCCTCGTCGCTTTGGCGCTCTGGGCCAGAGCGCCTTGAGCCAAATGGCTAGGGCGCGGGTCGAGCGGATGGAGGCGCTGGAGTTAAGTCGGGCGTGTCCCCCTACAGAGGGGGATTTTTGACGAAGAATATATTAGCAAAAATACTCAAACAAGGTCAAACAACAATCAAAAAACAGTCCCCAGACTATTTTTAGATTATTTTTGGATTATCTTTGGGGTATCTTTTGTTTTTCGTCGAAAATCCCCCTGTAGGGGGACATGCCCGACTTAAGGCTGGAGTGGGCTGCGCTGCGGTTTGGGGCGGTGCGCCAGCCGCCTTCGGCCGGCCCCTCCTCTCGGGGGTGGACAGAACCCCCAACAGTGACACGTCGATTAGTGAATTGTCCGTTTTCGGTTCTCGAGAGGGCGCCGTGGCCGTTATTTTCCAGACTTGCGCCCGCCAGGTTTGGGCCTCAGGTCGTTTTCACTAAACCACGTTTTACTAAAGGGGGGTCTGTCCATCCCCGATTCTCGAGGGAGAGGAGGCGGCACGAGGAGCAGAGCCCATTCGGAGCTCCGCGCGGCCCACTGTGTCAAGGCCCGTGGTGCGAGCGCGTGCTGCAGCTCCCGCGGGCCCGCTCAGCCCAGAGGGGCTTTCTATTGGAGGGTTTCTCCGAATGGCTTAGGCGACCCGTCCTACTCCTCCTCCTGGTCCTCCCTCCTCCTCCTCCTTTTCCTCCTCCCTCCTCCTCCTCCTCCTCCTCCTCCTCCTCCTCCCTCCTCCTCCTCCTTCTCCTCCTCCTCCTCCTCCTGGAGGCGTCGAGGTGCCCAGCCGGAAGCCCGCGGGTGAGCTTTTTCTTGGAGTGCGTGGCTGGCCTGGCGACTGCGCGCCTGAGCGCGGCGCTTCCGCCGCGAGCGGCGTCCGCGGGCCGCGTCCCAGCCGTGCACACTGCTGGAGGGCGCTCGGAGGAAGAGAAAAGGCTTCCTCACTCTCGCTCTCTTTTTTTTTTTTTCTCTCTCTCTCTCTCTCTCTCTCTCTCCCCATCCCTCTTCTCTCATGTTCACCTTGGCCCCCTCTCTCTCTATCTCTCCTCTTTTATGGCCCATCTCTCCCCCCCTCTCTCTGTTTATGCTTCCTCTCTCGCTCTCTCTCTCTCTTCTCTCTCTCTCTCTCCCTCTCTCTCTTTCCTACTCTCTCTTCCTGGAGCCTTATCCAAGAGGCTTGCGCCATTCCTCCGACCCCCAGATGAAGAGATGCGCGGTTTCCGATTTCGTCTTGTCGTTCGCAGCGTCTTGTCGTGCTGCCTGCGCGTAGTTGCTTCTGCCTTGTCCCCCCTCTTCCTCTGCGTCTGCTGGCGACTTCTTGGTAGCTTTTTCGTTGTTCCCAGGTGCTTCGGGGGGGGCCTCTGACGGGCATCTTGGGGGCATGTTGGGCGTCTTGGATGCCATCTTGTGGAAGAGGAGGAGGAGGCGGAGGAGGAGGAGGAAAAGAGGAAGAAGAAGAGGAGGAGGAGGAGGAGGAGGAACAAGAGGAGGAGGAGGAGGAACAAGAGGAGGAGGAGGAGGAGGAGGCGGAGGAGGAGAACGATGAACTGGGAACTGTGCATGAGCGACAACGAAAGTCGCATCCCCGAAGGGAGCACTTAGGCAAATAAGTGCGATGGAACGGGACAAGGGCAAGTCGCCTGGCCCACTCGCGGCCGCCTTCCTTGAGGCGGTGTGCCGCTCCGGTGGTGCTGCGAAGAATCGAAATCCTCGCCAGTGGAGACGACACAGGTCCTGATTCCGCGGACCCCGCTGCGCCGACCCTGGTCCTGCGGGCCGGCCACGCAGACCCAGGAGGGCAACCATGTGCCACACCTGACTGTAAGAAACAATCGTGATGAGAGGGAGTCGAACTCTCCACCACGCAAAACAACGGCCGCCTGCTTGTCTCCGCCAACTTGGGCCAATTCCCTGACAGTGTGCCCTCCGCTTGAGGTAGCGCCGGTGCCAGTATACGACACCGTGCCCCTGCGGAGGGGAGGAGGAGAACGAGGAGGAGGAGAAGGCGGAGGAGGAGGAGGAGGAGGAGGAGGAGGAGGAGGAGGAGGAGGAGGAGGAGGAGGAGGAGGAGGAGGAGGAGGAAGAGTCAGCCAGCGGCGAAGACGTCGGCGACCTGGAGCCGCCCCCCCAGGAGGAGGACAAAGCGCCCGGGTCGAGGCGGAAGGCCGGCGAGATGGCGCAGCTGATGCAGACGAGGACGGTGCAGGCTGCCGCCGCTGCTGGCAGCGGGGCGGACCGAGGGCCTCTCGAGGTCTCTCGGGCGCAGCTGGCCCCGTCCTGGGCCTCTCTCGCGGAGGAGGGTCGAGGAGTCGCGGATCGAGGAGTCGAGGTGCCTTCGTGTTTTTTTGTGTTTTCTCTGCCTGTCTGCATCGATGTGGGCCTCCGGGCCCGCTCTCGGGCCCCAGGAGTGGACCATCGGGTGTGGGCCGGGGGCGGAGGTCTGTCCCCCGGGGGAGGAGTCGGGACTTCTGGGGCCGCGCGCCGAAGAGGCACGTCGTCGGGGGCCCTGGTCGCCCCCCCCCCCCCCCAACAGCTCCTCCCTTCCTCGCTGTCGCCCGCCTCCGCCCGTCGCGACCTCGGCCCCCGTCGCGAGGGGGTCTGGGATCGGGGTTTCCAAAGGGATCCCCCGGACCTCGCCCGACGTCGCGTCCGCTTCGGCAGGGACGCCTGGGCGGATGCCGGCCGCGGCGACGAGCAGGCCCAGAGGAGGGCCTTTGGAGGCTTGGGGCCGCGCGAGCGAGTGAGGTAAATGAGAAGGAGAAGGCCTTCTCAGAAGGCGGCGGGGTTTCTCAGAAACCATCGCGCCTTCTCATAAGTTTTTTTTGTTTGTCTCCATGGAAGGCGTAGAAACCTTCTCAGAAGGCTGGGGGACTTCCGAGCCTTCTGAGACGGCCTTCTCCTCTTACTTCTCCCCCCCCGCTCGCCGCCGATGGAAGAGATTACAAAGTCGGACATCTGGGCTAGGACGTTTTTTGATCCGTCCCGGGCCTCCAGAGGCTCGGGAGGACCCCATGAGCCATCCAGAGAGGCCTTCCCAGGCGCGTCTCTCCGTGTCCCTCCTCTTCCCGACCCCGAGGATCGAGGATCGGAGGCTTGCGGGCGCTTCTGGCCCTCGTGGGCTTCTCGTGGCATCCTCGTTGCCGCCCCAGGTTTTTAGCGCACTGAGCAACAGTCCATGGGGACGTTTTTCGCCGTTTTCGGACCCCAGGCCCCAGGTCCGACAACAAGCGATTCAGGATGAAACGCCGGCCTTGGGGGAAGACGCAAGATTTCTGGGGACCCCGTATTGAACAATTATCCCAGTGCGACCCTATCTAGGAGCTGGAGCCTCTAGGAACGCAACATTAGTAGGAGCGGTAAACGCCGTCCTCCTTCTCCTTATCGTCGTAGTTGTAGCAGTAGTGGTAGTGGTGGTGATGGTGGTAGTAGTAGTAGTAGCAGTAGTAGTAGTAGTAGTAGTAGTAGTAGTAGTAGTAGTAGTAGTAGTAGTAGTAGTAGTAGTAGTAGTAGTAGTAGTCGTAGTAGTAGTAGTAGTAGTAGTCGTAGTAGTAGTAGTAGTAGTAGTAGTAGTAGTAGTAGTAGTAGTAGTAGTAGTAGTAGTAGTAGGTAGTAGTAGTAGTAGTAGTAGTAGTAGTAGTAGTAGTAGTAGTAGTAGTAGTAGTAGTAGTAGTAGTAGTAGTAGTAGTAGTAGTAGTAGTAGTAGTAGTAGTAGTAGTAGTAGTAGTAGTACCGCCAGAACCGCCGACGCCACGCCGTAAGTGAAGGAGCAGCAGAAGCAGGCAGCAAGTCGCCGAGACAGCAGCAAAAGCAAGCAGGCACGGAGATGAGGGCGGGGCACTGGGGAGTTCTTTACATCTGCATCTATATCTACGCCTACATCAACATCGACACCTACATCTACATCGACACCTACATCTACATCTACATCTACACCTACAGCTACATCTACACTTATAGCAGCAGTAATAGTGGATGCTGTGCTGCGCTATGCTATGCCATGCTCTGCTCTGCTCTGCTCTGCTCTGCTCTGCTCTGCTCTGCTCTGCTATGCTATGCTGCGCAATGCTATGCTGGGCTAGGCTAGGCTATGCTATCCTATGCTATGCTATGCTGCGCTATGCTATGCTGCGCTATGCTATGCTGCGCTATGCTATGCTATGCTATGCTATGCCATGCTTTTGCTTTGCCTTCGCTTTTGCTTTCCCTTTTGCCTTTGCTTTTGCTTTTGCTTTTGCTTGGCACCCAGGGAGCGCAACTGGGGGAACCGCGCGTTTCCTTTTACCTTTGCTGTTGCTTTTGCTTGGCTCCCAGGGGACCGGGGGAACCGCCCGGGGCGGTTTACACTGCCCGGCCCCTTGAAGCTAGAGGGTAAGAACCTTTCTAGGCAGAGCCTAGGTAGGGAACCAAAACCGTAGATTTTTGGGGTGGTTTTCTGGTGCTTCCACGTTAAAATCGAGAACCGAGGATCGTCGTCCATGTTGAGAGTTTTTTCATTGACGGTCGAGGTTTTTATCGAGGGGCGAGATTCTCGCATCGGGGATCACGCCCTTTCTGGACCCCTGATGGCATTTTTGTTGACATGGCTGAATTCGCCTCGGAGGAGAGGTTCGGCGGCGAGCCGAGAGGGGAGCGAGAGAGGGCAGGCCTTCTCAGCCAGAATGCGACGGGGCTTCTCATAAGCCCCCTCGCCTCCTGAGAAGTCTCGTGAGCACTCTCCAAAGCAACAATCGGCTTCTCAGAATGCGCCAGTGCTTTTGAGAAGCCTTGCCGCCTTCTGAGAAGACCTGCTTCCTCTCGCTTCCCGAGGGCAGGCAGATCGTTCAAGCGAAAAGATGCTTGTTCAAGCGAAAAGCTGGTTCGTTCAAGCGAGAACGCAACCAGCGAAAGCTACGCAGATAGACACAGAGAGACACATATAGACACAGAGAGACACATATAGACACAGAGAGACACATATAAACGCAGAGAGGCACATCTCGACACATATAAACACATGTAGACACATATAGACACGTACAGACACATATAGACACATATAGACACAGAGAGACACATATAGACACAGAGAGACACACAAAGACACATATAGACACAAAGAGACACAGAGGGACACAGATGGACACATATAGACACAGAGAGACACATATAGACAGAGAGACACAGAGGGACACAGAGGGACACAGAGGGAAACGGAGAGACAACGAGGGACACAGAAAGGCACACAGGGACACAAAGGGACACAGAGGGACACAGAGGGACACAGAGGGACACGGAGGGACACAGAGGGGCACAGAGGGGCACAGAGGGACACAGAAGGACACGGAGGGACACAGAGGGACATAGAGGGACACAGACGGACACAGAGGGACACAGACGAGCACAGAGGGACACAGAGGGACACAGAGGGACACTTAGAGACACAGAGGAACACAGAGGGACACAAAGGACACAGAGAGGCACAGAGAGACACAGAGTGACACAGCGAGACACAGAGAGGCACAGAGGGACACAGAGGGACACATATAGACAGATGCAGACACATATAGACACGTAAAGACACACATAGACACATATAAACACAGAGAGACACATATAGACACAGAGATACACAGAGAGACACATATAGACACAAAGAGACACGGAGGGACACAGAGGGACACAGATAGACACAGAGAGGCACAGAGAGACACATATAGACACAGAGAGACACAGATGGACACAGACGGAAACAGAGGGACACAGAGAGACAAAGAGGGACACAGAGAGACACACAGGGACACAGAGGGACACAGAGGGACACAGAGGGACACAGAGGGACACAGAGGGACACAGAGGGACACAGAGGGGCACAGAGGGACACAGAGTGACACGGAGGGACACAGAGGGACATAGAGGGACACAGAAAGACACAGGTAGACACAGAGATACACA